AGATAATTGCATTTATAAGAACACAAGGTACAACATTCTATATCCATAAATCCAAGCAGAGATATATCAGAAGCTCATGAACACAGATGATTAGAATTCTTCTGATACTGGTAGCTGGTAAAGCACATAGTCTGACATTCAGGAGGTAGCCAGTAGCCATCAAGACAAATTATTCTCTTCTCAATAAACTTGCCTAGTCCTATTTTAAAATGGTTACAATGCTGGCCATCATACTACCTGATTACAGCAAATCCACAATTTAATTCTACATTTTTAAATTAATACTGCATTTTTAATAACTAGAACTTTCTGCATTCATTATAATGGATTATTTAAAGTCTAGTCTTTTGAGAGAGAGAAACTATTATTTCTATCCCATTTTCAATACTACTTATTATTTTATCTCATTCACCTTCATTTTAAACTAATATCCCTTAACACTGCAATCTTTTCTTTTAGACAGCGCTGCTTTAACTTCCCAAACATTCTCCTCTATATTTTCCTGCTGTGCAAGATATGGTGAAAGAACTACCCACAGAATTCCACCTCACAATTATTTCAGTTCAATTCTCTTTTTAATGAAATGCAATTTGATATTTTTACTGAAAGTAAAAAGAAAGCCTACTATTTCCACTCACAAAGGCTCTCAAAATTATAGAGTTGCCAATAGAGGCTAAAATACAATTATTTTGTTCTCCTGCAAGGTAGTATCCTGCAGCCTGCCAACTGTTGATTGGTAAGTAACCTGTGATTATTGGAAGGGGCGATAACTGCTTTTTGCCACTAGAATAGTGGCAGATCATACCGTGCCATAATTGCATGATATTCTGTGCAACTGAAACAATTAAATGCATTTCTAACCTATGTCAACAAACTGCCTCTGGGTAATCAGGCATATTGCCTATTGGAACAGACTGACTTTACTAGTGTTATTCTATGATAGCTCTATATAACATTTATCAAACTTTTTCTTATCCCTAACAAGCTCTAGGTTCATCAAGGTTGAGAAATATGCTTCGTTTAGTCATTAACTTAAATGCTTTTAAGGAAAAACAAATACTGATATGCAAAGGGTTCTGTGCATGAGACAGGTAGGTTTGGATGATCTGTTTCTGAACTAAAATTCAAGTGTTGGAGTGGAAACAGATTCAAACTACTATTATTGTAATACAGATGCTTCACAGAGAATAGGAAAAAGCCACTGCCAATGTCATAAACACAGCATATCCAACTAGCCCACTGCCTATTAGCCTTCCCAGCACTTTTCTTCTTCCCTTAGCCACCAATATTTTAGCTACAAGCATGGTACATCCAAAGATGGTGGGATGGGGAGGGACAAATGTTGCCATACTTGAAACTGAAGGCAATGATTGCAATGGCTAGGTGGAAAATGAAGGAGTTAGGAAAATTATTGGGCTGATGGACACATAGGCTGTGTTGAAGAGTAAGATACAAGGTTCACCAGTCTTGCCCTGCTTAATAACTCTGGATTTTGTCTTGACTAAAATCCAGGGCAGTCAAAATGTTCTGGTTCTACTGAATTACTCTCTATCTAGATCAGCAGAATGTTTGAAACACATTTTTGTACAGAAAATATTTCACAATTTATGCACACACTAGAAACAATGCATGTAGCTATAAATTAGTACAGAGACAGCTTTGAAGAAAGTATTTAGCAGCTATCACATAAATATTAGCTTGGTCTGAAAAGGGAGGGGGAAAGAAAAGTCATGTTTATTCTGCCTTGATTCTCTTTGGTATAAGATGGAATGGAGGGGAGGAGAATCTTTGTCAGGTTTTCAAGATTCTATTCTTAAACACAAGGACTTTATAGTAGTCCTAGTGAGTCTCTTTCCTGACCTGGCCAACTTAAAAGGCTGATAGTATGCCTATCATGCTATGTCATAATGTGGGCTTTTGGTTTTGGTATATAGAAAGTCATATGGTCTCAGCTACTGTACTATAGAAACCATAATTATGTAATGGTGTACGAGTCCAGTTAACAAACATGGAAAATGTAAATCCAGCCACAGCAGTGTTGTATATCTATACTGTTGATCCAACAACTTTTTCCTCCGTTGCCTATGACATTACAGATGTTCATCTGGTCCCCAATGCATCATTTAGGCAGATTAAATGGTTTTAGTTATTCTGTAGTGTTTGCCTTTTTACGCTGGCAACAAGCCATGCCAGTTTTGCAATGGGTGCAATTTGATGCACTTTGCTAATGATTTAGTTGGGGTTGCAGACCTCTAGGGGATGAGATCGCCCAGCATAAGCTCTCCCCTTTGTTTCCTGAGCAATGTCTCCCAGGATCAATCTGCTTTGAACGGCTGAAGGATCTAGTTTTCAAATCTGAGTCCTCACTCTGTATCTCCTGGTCTCCAAGCTATTTTCTGGCTCCAAAAAGTGGACCATTGTGAACAGCAACTGACTGGTGATGTCAGTGTAGGAATTGCATGGAGTGAGCTGTTTTTGTCTTATGGCTGCTTCATGGCACAATCCTCTTCACATTTTCAATTGTTAGGTTGATTTGAAAACAGCTTTGGTATTCGACTGGAATAGTGCCAGACCTGTGTCCAAAAGCAGCCTATTTATCAGCTAATCATCTGACTATTTCAGGCATGGGTTTAGCATTATTGTGCTATTCAATGTCAGATGATAGTCAGACTTCCTTTGAATGCACCCATACAAAACCAGAACTAATTTGATAGATGGCTAAACACAGTGTCCTAGTGTTGTCCCTAACTCATCTCCTTCGTAGTCATTTTAAGGAGAGTGATTGTTGAATGTTTTCCTGCTGGCTGGTAATTTGGCAATAAGGGAGGATATAGAGCTCCATTCTGATAATGTCAAGTATTTCATATGGTCACAGTTGCAGTTTAAAAAAAATTACAAAATGTGTCCTAAATTTTATAACAGATGTGAAGCATGTGGTTTTTTTGATTACTTTTATACAACTGGTCAAAATGCTATTATTCAAGCAAACATACGACTTGGATAATCACTGATAATGGTATTCTGTTCTTGTGTTACAGATCTTCCAAATGTTTTGTAATTGTTGGTTAATGTTTATACATAACGTGAGACTGACAACAAATTGTTGCAATATTGTATCTTCCTGTTCATTGTATGGTCAGCCCCACCTTGCTTCATTCCGTTTTTATTTTACCTTTTTAGGTCTTCTCATTTGTTTTCTATCTGTCATCTTCTAATTGCTTTAATATTGCCTCTCGCTGCCAGTTTCCTTATTGTTTTGCAGTTTTAACAGTTAAGAATAACTGCTACAAACATTTTCATTAATATTGGAAGAGTAGACAAAGCAGAATACTGTATTGGAAACAGCCAGAAATTCAAGTACCAACTTATCCATCGAGAGCACCAGATGAGCTGGATTTCAAGTAATTCTAATACTTCTAGCATTTTAATTTATACACTACTCCAAGGAAAGACTTGCTAAAGCATGGTTCTCAACATGGGCCAGTTGACTCCAGGGGAGCCATGTCATTTTTCTAGGGGCCAAATATGAGATAATTCAGATAGCGAAGTCTTTTTTATACTAATGCTAAGAAAGGGGTCCAGAGGTGATGAGGCTCAGAAGGGGACCATGAGCAAAAGAAGATTGAGAATTCCTGGACTAAAGCATAGAATAATAAACAGAGTTGGAAGGGAGGTCTTAGAGGTCTTCTATTCCAACTCTCTGCTCAAGCAGGAGACCCTGTACCTTTCCAGACAAGTGGCTGTCCAGTCTCTTCTTAAAAGCCTCCAGGGGTGGAGCACCCACAACTTCTGAAGGCAAGCTGTTCCACTGGTTGATTGCTCTCACGGTTAGGAAACTTCTCCTTAGTTCTAGCTTGCTTCTCTCTTTGATTAGTTTCCATCCACTGTTCCTCATCTTACCTTCTGGTGCTTTGGAAAACAGGTTGACCCTCCTCAAATATTGGAATACAGCTATCATGTCATCCCCCCCCACCAAGTCCTTCTTTTCACTAGACTAGACATACCCAGTTCCTTCTTTTCACTAGACTAGACATACCCAGTTCACTAGACTAGACATACCCAGTTCACAGTTCTTCGTATGTTTTAGCCTCCATATCAGTGTTTCTCAACCTTGACAATTTTAAGGCATGTGGACTTCAACTCCCAGAATTCCACAGCCAGCAATGCTGGCTGTGGAATTCTGGGAGTTGAAGTCCACATGCCTTAAAATTGTCAAGGTTGAGAAACACTGCTCCATATGTTTTAGCATCCCCGTCTTCTCCTTCACCCCAAAATATCAGGTCTCACCTGCATGATGTCCCAAGTTTCAGTTCTAGAAGCCAGCAAACTACCCGGGCGCCACAATAAGAGCCACCTTTTAGTCCACCCTTTCCGACAGAACGGATCGAAGAGGAGGCCGAGCCGAGCTCACGAGGACCCTCCACGGACTTTTGACCAGGAATGCAAATGTTGCGCTGGGCCAGAGTCTGAAACACACGCACGCGCGCGCGCGCCTTCCAAGGAAGAAGCTCATTGGTAGAGCACAGCGCGAGCTCTGGCAGTTGGCCGTGGGGGGGTCGCCGCGTCGCGCACGCACTCGGAATAAGGCGACGCACCGCTAAGGAAGGAACAGGAGAGCTGGAGCCCAAAGGACGACGCGTTGACATATTATGAGCATTTTGCCCCCCCCTCCCCTCCCCTCCAACTCGCTCACATAATAAACGGGTTTTGGTAGGTGCGTGCGTGTGCGCACGCGCATGGCATAAGGGCAAACATCCGTCCTCCAAAAGTCGCTTACTCCGTTCGGGCCGGAAGAGGGCACTCTCGCGCTGGTACAAAGGTCCTCTCGGCGTGCTCGTTTCCCGTCGTGCACCGCGCGAAGCGGGACGCCGGCGCTCTGGTGCTGGCGGTTTCTCACTGGTGCCGGAGGCAGTAGTGGGCCCTCAAGGCTGCGCTCGGCACTGCCAGAGTCCTCGCCTTCCGCGTCGTCCGTCTCTCTCTCTCTCTCTCTCTCTCCCCCCCCCCCCGGCCTCGCCATGTCGTGCAACTACGTGGTCACCGCGCAGAAGCCCACGGCCGTCAACAGCTGCGTCACCGGTAATGGTGGGAAGAGGGGGCCTTTCCCGGGATCGGCGAGCGGGCGGCGGAGAGCGCTGTGGCGGGGGAAGGACGAACGGAGGAGGCCGCGGGGCTGCGCGCCCCTCCGGCTTTGGGCTCTGCCAGTCGGACTGCCCTCACCTCGCGGCCTTTTCTCTTCGCCCCAGGTCACTTCACCTCCGCGGAGGACCTCAACTTGTTGATCGCCAAGAACACCCGCCTTGAGATCTATGTGGTCACCGCGGAAGGGCTGCGGCCCGTCAAGGAGGTGGGCATGTACGGCTTCTAGCGCCAGTACCTCGAGAAAGCCGGGTTCCACTCGTAGCGGAGGAGGGCTTCCTGTCACGCCGGCGGCCCGTGGGAGGAGGAACCCGTCCCACCCCGGAGCTAGGGAATGCCGAGAGAACAGGTCTTTCCTTGAGGACGTTGTCTAACCCAACCGAAGACCAAGCTGGCCGTTCACAATGACCAAGGCTAGGAGTTGGCTGCTAAAACCCCAGGCATTGCGGATCTTTGGGGAATGTGAACTCGGTAGAAACCTGGCTTTGTGGCTTGCTAGCCAGGTGGAGGGTTATTGTTTTGTTAAATTTCAGCCCGATGTTCTGTTGCTGTTGTGAAGATACCTTTGAAACGTTCAGGTATGCAAAGGCTTATTTTTTAGGACTGGTGGTCTGCTGGAATTTAGCACGTTGTGATCATTGCACACAACCAGTCTGTTGTGAGCTAATTGTGTGGACCTGTCATGTGGATGGAGTATTTTTTTTTTCCTGGGTGCTTCATTTTTGATTGATTCATTTTTGATTTGGTCATGACTTGGAAAATTGCCATTACTCAAGGATGTTGTGCCTGATTGCTGCTGAGATCAACAAAACTGAGAACTTGCTCTTTTTTAGGGCTAATATTTGAAGGAAATGACATATGTATATTGCTGTTTTCAACAGTAATCTTCTCAACCAACTTTTGTAAGTCTTTTTGAAAAATAGCTATGTTGTCTGGCCTGGCCATTTAAATAACATTTGAGGTAAAATGTTTGCATCTGTTTCCTGCAAGTCTCTTGAACATCAACAGCTGTGGTGCTTCTCATGTTTGATGAATTCATATAGTGTTCACAAGAAACTAATTAATATACTTGCTGATTAAATATACTTTTTGGAGGAGCTTATCATTTATGTGCACTTACAGAAGAAAATGCTTAATACAGAACAGGAAGTTGTGATGAGCAAAAGCATCTATTTCAGACATCTTTCATTTGAGATACACCTTTTACAAATGGAATAATATTTTGTTGCTACTGTGTTGCAGAATATTGAGTGTTTTTTTTCTTTTCTAGCTAAAACTTTTTTTCCCTCCTTAGGGGGAAAGCAAGGATTTGCTCTTTATTTTGACAGCAAAATATAATGCTTGCATTCTTGAGTATAAACAAAGTGGAGAGAGCATTGACATCATCACCAGAGCCCATGGCAATGTGCAGGTAAGAGGAAACTGCATTAAGTGTAATAGGTACATTGTAATTCAGGACCACACAGCGGTTTTCTGTATATTTTGCAATCTGAGTTTGAAGTTTTAGATTATATTCCAAGTTAAGTAACGTAAAATATTTATGTAAGTTGAAATTAATATTGCAATTTGAGAAGCAATACTTGTCTTTCTGTTGTCAAACTATTGGATCCTGTGACAATTTAAGAAGGATGAAAAGGTAATTCAGAAACAAAGAAAGATCACTACACGTTAATTTTTATATAAACAGTAATACTCTAGAGTCATCGGAACAATCAAGTCTGTCGATAAAATATAAGAACACATGAACACAAGAGGATGTTTGAGAGTAACTTATCCAAAGTTCTTTTTTTCGAAAATATGAGAGAGTGTTGCTAGATTCTTGTTCTACATAAAACATTACTATTCTGTCTAAAGGTAACTTACAAACAAGCCATTTTTATATGCAGCAAAAATCCCTCGAGTGGTGAGTTGCCTGCTTTTACACTCCCCAAAGGCATCTAATTGATCACTGTGAAAACCAAGTAGTTGAATTTATCTGACATCTAGCTGACCTAATAGGACTTTTATTTTCAGCATTCAGTTTTATTTAAAGTCCTTCTCTTGGAAAAATAAAGGGTCAAAATTTAAAAATGTAAGCTATTTTAAGTAACTGAAGAAATCTGTCCTCATTTCTTTTCTTCCAATTTTGAATTGTACTAATTGAAACTCAGTCAGACTCCCCAGTTCTCTCTCCCTTCCATCCAAATGTGACTCTGGGGGAATGGATAATTTTTATAATTGCACTGCCCTTCTCTGTAGTACTTAAAAACACAGTCATTTATCATATTTGGAGGAAGGAGGAAATTATATTAAAAGTTTAATTATGTTTCAGATGCTCCTACCCCACCATTCACCTTCCAGCTCCAAATTCAAATGAGATTACTTATTTTACATTATCCTTCTGAAGTTCCTGGAAGCCATCCACTCTCTATGAGGGTAATAGCCTACCTCTTCTTCAAGACTGGAGAAAATATGTGCTTATCATAGCTGGCAGAGAATGATTAATACTTATAAGTGGTATTAGGAACCTCTTGTGATTATATAAAGGCTAGGAACATTTATTCTAATTTTTTTTTTTAAAAAACTAAATTTATATAGTATTTAAATACTGTTGTCATGTAAAAATTAACAATTGCCTTTATTCCTGAGTTGCATTTTAGCTAGTTTAGAATATTATTTTTCAAAGGGTAGAACCTGCAAGCTTCCCAGAATATGTGTTCTTGAGACATAATTTCACAAGGCCTCAAAACCCAATGAAAGCAAGAGTGTGCATATACAAGCCTTATAGTACAGGTAATCCTTGCTTACTTACCACAGTTGGGACTGACAACTGCTAAGCGATACATTTGTTAAGTGTGTTATGAGACATCACATGACTGTGATGGGCTTATGACATCACCTCTGTGGTGGTTATTCAACAAGACATGTCTGTGACTTGTGATTTTACTGCTGGCTTCTTCCTTGACTCTTATTATTGGAAGCTGCTGTGAAGTGTGCAAATGGCAACCATGTCACTGCAGGATGTTGTAGTGGTTGTAAACACCCGCCAGTTGCGAAGCATCTGAGTTTGGATCATGTAACCCCAGAGAAAGTATGACAGTCATGAGGTCTGATGGTAGTTTTTCAGCACCATTGTAACAGTTGCAAAACAGCTGTCATTAAGAGAGGACTATGTTAATATAAGTCCTGCTTGCTTATAACCTTAAGATCTTCATCTTGGGCTGTTAAAAAGAAAGTCATAATAGACTTTCTTTTTATCAAAGCCTGTTAAAATAGCATGTATCCTGTTAGTTTTTAAAAGGGAAAAGAAAAATTCTACATTCATTACTTCTGTAAAATTGGATTTTTTCCCCTGTCAAACTGCTAAAACTACTTCTGCTAAAGAACAAAAATCAAACGTGTTTTCCAAGTATATCTACATATACATATGTAGGAACTACATATCCAATATAATATGTAATTGAAAGTTGTAGATTTAAATACATAAATGCATATATACGTAGCTTTGTCATCTGTGATCCATGAGTTATTTACTGTGTTTTTGAAATGGAAATAAAGGATTCATAGTAATTACAAGATAAGGACAGACACACCAAAAAGAAAAATGACTGCTGATTGAAAGTCTAGGTGTACATGAACAACATACATTAGCATAAATTACAATACTCATCATGAGTGAATCAACTGTTGGCTAATGCACAAACACCAAATTAATGGATTTAGAAGACTTAACCTTGCATGTTTTCTTTTGACAAAAGAGATTGTACTAAGAATATTTATGTGTTGTCCTCTAGGATCGTATTGGTCGTCCCTCGGAAACAGGTATAATTGGCATAATTGACCCAGAGTGCAGAATGATTGGATTAAGGCTTTATGATGGCTTATTCAAGGTGATTCCTTTGGAGCGAGAAAATAAAGAATTAAAGGCCTTTAATATTCGACTAGAGGAGCTACAAGTTATTGATGTGAAATTTCTCTATGGCTGCCAGGCCCCGACCATATGTTTTGTTTACCAGGTAATCAAATTGGCTCTGAATGTGTGTTGTGATAAAATTGCTGGAGATAGTGAACATTATTTAACATACCTATTAATTATAAACAAATCAAATGGGTTGGTTAATGGGGAAAAAGAAATCACAGGATCTTTAGTAAGGACTTATTTTTAATTTATTTATTTGTTACTAGAACAAACCAAATTGGTGCCTGAGTATTGGCAAGCTTTTGAATATTTTGGGACTTATTGAGTTAGGTGTTATCAAAAACAAACTAGTCAGATAAGAAAGAAGCAGAAAAACCCAAAATCTAAATCAGGAATTTCAGTCATGTGGTTTGCCATTTAAAATCAGTCTCAGGATGATGCTTGTAGAACAAATATACTTTTATAGACAGCTGTTGTCAATCTCAGGTTATATTAGCATTTAGGTAAAAAGAATAATACAATTTTGAAGCATTATTTTCGTTTCCACAAACATTACTGATTTGATTCAATTGTAATAGTTCTAATCTACAAGCAGATTTTTGAAGTTAAAATGATTAAAACTCCTTTAATGTGCAAAGCTGTTAAGAACTTTTCCTGATTTGTTACATTTTTGTTTTTCTGTGATGATCAGATAGAAAATTGGCTTAAGCACCCTCCAGAAACCATGATTTGATTTCTCTAGCCATTCAAGTTTAAAATTCAGTTTCCTTGTTCATTCCTGTCTGGGAATCACTTTTGGGACCAAAAAATTAAAGGCAATGTGACTCAGGATTAATTTTTTTAATCCTTTAGCCACTGCCCTTGAAAAGCAGCATTGCTAACCATCCTTGAAACTTGTTGCTTTCATTACTTTTATGTTTGGTATTCTGAATTATCTACTAATACATAATTTTGTGCTTGACAAAAAGGGAGGAAAATTCCCTTTCAGCATAGTCTCCTCCAGGCTCATAAATCCAATACATAAATAAATAAGAACCAAGCAAGTTACCTGCAAGGGCCTGGGGTGCTTCTAGCAACTGACTGCATTTCTATTCTCAATATACAAAAGAGGAGGTTTCTCCCCCCCCCCCCCATGTAGAACAAAAACACCATTTATTTGTTTTTTAAATTGTTATGGCTGCTGTTTTTTTCTACAGCAATTTAGGAGACTACATATTAAAATAGAGGCAAAAACACATTAAAACAATTGAAAAATCTATATAGGCAGATAAAATCCCAGGCTATCATTCATTCAAACTACAACCACACAAGCCCCAGCTAACCACTAGACTTCCAAGTAGAAAGAGAATCCAAATAAAATTCCAGCAATATTTCTGTTTCCAAAAATCTTATGTTTTATTGAATATATTTCATGGTTATGTCGAAGCAAAACTAACTCCGAGGTTTCCCCACCAATTCGTAGACTTTAATAATAGTTTTCCCAGTCAAACCCCAAATATCTTACACAATCCATATCAACAAGTCCACTTTGTTATGAGAACCATCTGCTACAAATCCACACCTGTTCTGGTGTCCTTGACAAGGCTTCAGGCTCCCATGGTCTGCAGCTGAATCGAAGTTTAGTTTTTCCATCTACCCACTTGAGAGTAACACCTCCCCCTCATCTAAGGGCAAGTTAAAACACAGAGGCATGTAGCTGCCAAGTTTCATCCTTGACAGATGGGCTGATGGACAAGAGAGAGCAATGTTTGTTTTTATCATCAGCATTGTCAGTTTCCCAACTTTTCATCCTTTGACAGAAATGCAGTGTCCTGGCAACAGAAGCATGAGATGTTCTGAGCCTCCACATAGTAACTGTTAGCTATTTGTTTACTTTTTGAGCATCTTGTATAAAAGTGTGGTATTGTGGCAAGTGGCAAAGAAATTTAATTTTGTTGCTCAAAATTGAACTGTGGAGTCCTTGGTGCTCTCTGAGTTTGGATGTTTCTTGCAGGCATTTTATTGCCAACCAGATTAGCAAGTAATTAAATGAGTACTTAATTTTACTATCAGTCCTCTAAAGTGTTCTGGGTATAAGTCTTTTTCCTGGACAACTAGCAAAAAATGAAATATGCTGTCAGTAGAGACCTGGATCCACTGTACTTGTGTTATGCACAGTGTCCTTGTAGAGAAAGTCTACGGGGCTCATTTTGAGGTTGTAAAATATCTCAAATCTGGTTATAATTACAAGAGAGGTTCATATTAGTGATTCGTCCATTCTCCTTTAAGAGAGACACTGAGTGAAATTCTTTCTACATTAGTAAGAATCTTTATAGGACTAATTTACAAGGCTTGCCTTACTAAATCAGTGCAGAATATGTGCTGTCTTGAGATTACAGCATCAGGAAAATGGGATTTTTAAAATCTTTGTTTCAAAAAGTTTGTCATAAAGTGGGGGAAATTAAGAAAGAAATCTGAAGGCTTTAGTTAAATAAAACAAAATACTTACTATTTGAAATAATGTAAAAGTATATAACTTACTAATTCTATTAGCTGTATTAGAATAGGAACAATATTGTTCAGAATTGGGGAAATGCCTTATTTTGTGGGAGAGAGGCATTCTTTAGGTTTTGAAGTTGCTTTAATGAAAGTGCATCTATATATTTTTCAATGTACAAATGTTATAAAAATAGAAGAGAAATGCTTGATTTCAGGGAATGTTTGATTCTTGAACATTCGTATGAAAATGATTCTTATATGTTAAATGAGGGTAACTAAACAGTGATGGGTTTGTGTTTAGTGATTGTACTTTCCATCCATCTAGGACCCACAGGGCCGTCATGTCAAGACATATGAAGTGTCTTTGCGTGAGAAGGAGTTTAACAAGGGACCCTGGAAGCAGGAGAATGTAGAGGCTGAAGCCTCAATGGTGATTGCAGGTGAGTTTGTGTCTAAAAAATAAGGTAACTATAATTATTTAGATATAAAAATCAGCACTTAAAGAAAGAATTCCCAGAGCAGGGGTGTCAAACTGCTGGCCCGCGGGCCAGTTGCATCATATGAAGGCCATGTCTACCCCAGCTCCGGCAATGCGAAAAAAGTCATGATACGTTGCGACACGTCACGTGATGCGGTGAGTTTGACACCTGTGCCCTAGAGTCTAGACCGGGATGCCAAACTGCCGGCCTAAGGGCCGGATGCATCACGCCAAAACCGTGCCCATCCCATTGCTGGCAATGGGAAAAAAGTCACTATACGTCGCGACACATCATGTGACGTCGCAAGTTTGACACCTGTGGTCTATTTTAGGCCACTGTATTAAACTTGCACCTAGAAAAAAAGTTCTTTTTTGGATATAGGGGTGGGACAATTGGTCCAATTCCGGTTTGTATAAAAATTTGGTTGCTCCAGGCTCTCAGGCCCAGAATAGTTATGTAACTTGAGCAGTGCCTATAATGAACGTAGTGCTGCCCATTGATAACTACTTATCAGCCTCAGATCTTAAGACCCATCATTGCACAGCTGCATTTTTTAGACGTAACTATGCTAACAGGCAAAACTTAGAGATTATAATATTCAAGGTTATTGAGGATGTAGTATCAAAGAAAAAAATGAACAGAGAAACCTAAGCCACAAAAAATGGTATTTTAAAGTATTTATTTGTAACAAGTTAAATTGCTGTTTAAGAAACTGAAAGAGAAATTAAAATTTACTTGTTTTTAGTGAGTAAAGAAAAGGAAGATTTACTAAAGCATATAGTAAAATATGGTTAGGACAGTGGTGGTGAACCTATGGCACGGGTGCCAGAGGCAGCACTCAGAGCCCTCTCTGTGGGCACATGCGTCGTCGCCCCAGTCCTAGGTCTTCAGCTGGGTTTTATAAAACCTTTTCACTTTAGGCCTCCGCCGCCATGTGCAAAAAAAAAAAAGTTTAATTAGTCAATTTCAACTTCTCGCGGGAAAAAAAGTTCTTGCAAAGTTGGAATTGATTGATTGAACTTTTTAGTCCCACCCATTCTGCCGTTACCACTGCAGCCATGCCCACCCAATTGGCCACACCAAGCCAATGGGCTACACCCACCTGGCACCCGACGATGCATAAGTGGGTTTTGGGTTGCAGTTTGGAGACTCGGACTCTAAAAGGTTCGCCATCACTGGGTTAGGATATTGTCTGAATGACTCCTAGTAATCAGTAGTATATTTGCATGCTTTAAACTAATTTGTTATATTGAAAAGTGGCTTTTTTCTGGTGAGCAGGAAATTCTATCAATATAAATAACAGCTATTGAAATGTTTAATACACTTGGGTTACCTGGTTTGTATTCCTTTCCTGCCTTGATTATACTTTATGCATATTCCCCACAATTTCTTTGTAGTGCCTGAACCATTTGGAGGGGCCATTATTATTGGACAAGAATCCATTACTTATCATAATGGTGATAAATATCTGGCTATAGCCCCACCCATCATTAAGGTAAACAGCAGAACTTTTGGAAAGTTATTTGCCTAAAGCTGGAATTCTGTGCTTCATATTTACAGTAGGTTTAGTGTGGATGTAAGCAAGCAGGTTCGCTCTAATATTTTATACTACATCCCATAAATCCCGAACAAATGTGATTTGTATAATTTATTGCAGCATCAGTTTGCTTGCCTCTAGTTTAAACATTTTGTTAGAGCTGAAACTAAGTTTACTTTAGGTGTTAGGTGTTTTTGCTTTGTTTTAACTGACATTTTAACATTCTGTGAGCTGTCCAGAGTTGTTGGCAAGTGAAAGGCCTTAGGAATGGAAATTATAAATAAATCGGAATTTCTGTGGGCATCTGGGCCTACATTAACTGCTTGCTGCATTGTCTCTGTAGTTTCTTAGGATAAGGATAGACACATTTGGAATCTTGAGAATGTGTTTCATGTGCACTTAAATGGCTGTTCTGTGAATTTGGCCAAACACAGAATGTATGTTCATCAGGAAGTAAACTAGGGAAGCTGTTCCTTATCTCCTGTAGGATAGATTTTTTACTATTGCAGCTTACTCTTTCTAGAGGAATAATAAAATTGTTTGGATCAGTGTTAAGGTCATCCTGCCTTTTCAAAGACTTCTAAGTAACACCTTTTTTTTCTGAAACAGCAAAGTACAATTGTATGTCACAACCGGGTGGATCCAAATGGGTCCCGTTATCTGTTGGGGGATATGGAGGGTCGACTATTCATGCTGCTTTTGGAGAAGGAGGAGCAGATGGACGGTGGAGTCAGTCTCAAGGACCTGCGTGTGGAATTGCTTGGTGAGGTAGGTTTTGTTTTCTCCTCCATTTCTGGAGCATTTGGCGTGTGAAGTCAGCTGGAAGAAGAACTAGAAGGAGTGGAAAAAATTCCTGCAGATCCTGGAAGAGATCAAGTCCTTCTCAAATACTATTTTTTGGTAACTTTTGAAGATAGAGTTTAAAATTGTGCTGCATTAAAATAAGCAAAACCTGGTGTTCAACAGCATTTTTAAATTTTGTAATTGAGTTTTATATTTCATGACTAGCTGTACCCGGCCACGCGTTGCTGTGGCTCAGTCTGGTTAAATGGAAAAGAAAGAAAAGAGAAAGCGCACATTTGTAATATGTTTAATTTCACAATGCTTGTTGGAATCGTAAAATCGTAGCGTGTGTTGCTTTTACGTCCAACAGATGGCGCTGTTTTTCAAAACCTGTTTTTACCTGTCACAGGTATGACATCTATATAATATAGGTATAGAAAAACATGCGCGTATTCGAATGCAACGTTGTGTCAAAATTTCAAAGCAATCGGTGAAGAACTTTCGGAGATTTAAGATTTTGAACAAACGAACATTTACATTTTTATTTATATAGATTTATATAATTGGAAGGCTATATCCATCATTTAATATTTTTTTCACCGATCTTAAGTTTTTAAAAATGTATTTCGTTTATAAAGTCTTATCAATTGAATATATAACCTGTCTTTCACTGGCAAGTTGTCTCAGAGGACACTAAAAATAAAGTACATATTGAGGGAAAAATTATTCACCAAAAGCCACTCTGAACACTTTTCATCCCAGTGGAAATATGAAACAAATATTAAACAAAGCAAACCATGACATCATCCTTGATGGGTTCAGAACTGGAACATAGCCATCTCTTGCATTTTCAGGTATGCCTCTGGTAGCGATAGGATCAAGAGAATTATCTCTCACATATATGTTAAAGCCCAGAGTAGGACTTAAATACTGGCCTTCCTCAAAGGAGTTTAAAGAAAAGGGCTAACTTGACAATTTGAGGTACCAGATAAGGCCAAGAGAGAATGTCATCTAAAGTCACTTACAGCTTTCATACTTGTGAGGGTTAAATCCCTACTTACTTTATGACTAAGACATATTTCATTATATTTTGCTGTGGCAATGTATGTTCACTGGATACTTTTTAACGTGTCTTCTAATGTATTAGATACAGTATGTGCAGCTAATGTATAATATGTGTGCAACTATTGACATTCAAAGCCAGAAGCATATTTGGGATCTAGGTCCGAGTACAATCACTGCACTTGTCGGGAGCTCCGTAAAGAAGCCACAACTTTTCTTGGCCTTGCTTAATAGACAAACAATCCCAGGAATATGCATTTCTGTAGTAAGGAGCTGCCTGCATATACATGAGCATATCCATGCCAAAATATCCTTGCTTTGGGTTTAAATAGCTGCACATCTCTTTAANACGTCCAACAGATGGCGCTGTTTTTCAAAACATGTTTTTACCTGTCACAGGTGTGACATGTATATAATATAGGTATAGAAAAACACGTGCGTATTCGAATGCAATGTTGTGTCAAAATTTCAAAGCAATCGGTGAAGAACTTTCGGAGATTTAAGATTTTGAACAAACGAACATTTACATTTTTATTTATATAGACTAGCTGTACCCGGCCACGCGTTGCTGTGGCTCAGTCTGGTTAAATGGAAAAGAAAGAAAAGAGAAAGCGCACGTTTGTAATATGTTTAATTTCACAATGCTAGCATGTGTTGCTTTTACGTCCAACAGATGGCGCTGTTTTTCAAAAAAAGCATGTTTTTACCTGTCACAGGTGTGACATGTATATAATAGTAGGTATAGAAAAACACGTGCGTATTTGAATGCAAGGTTGTGTCAAAATTTCAAAGCAATCGGTGAAGAACTTTCGGAGATTTAAGATTTTGAACAAATGAACATTTACATTTTTATTTATATAGATTTATATAATTGGAAAGCTATATCCATCATTTAATATTTTTTTCACCGATCTTAAGTTTTTAAAAATGTATTTCGCTTATAAAGTCTTATCAATTGAATATATAACCTGTCTTTCCACTGGCAAGTTGTCTCAGAGGACACTAAAAATAAAGTACATGTTGAGGGAAAAATTATTCACCAAAAGCCACTCTGAACACTTTTCATCCCAGTGGAAATATGAAACAAATATTAAACAAAGCAAACCTTGACATCATCCTTGACGGGTTCAGAATTGGAACATAGCCATCTCTTGCATTCTCAGGTATGCCTCTGGTAGCGATAGGATCAAGAGAATTATCTCTCACATATATGTTAAAGCCCAGAGTAGGACTTAAATACTGGCCTTCCTCAAAGGAATTTAAAGAAAAGTGCTAACTTGACAATTTGAGGTACCAGATAAGGCCAAGAGAGAATGTCATCTAAAGTCACTTACAGCTTTCATACTTGTGAGGGTTAAATCCCTACTTACTTTATGACTAAGACATATTTCATTATATTTTGCTGTGGCAATGTATGTTCATTGGATACTTTTTAACGTGTCTTCTAATGTATTAGATACAGTATGTGCAGCTAATGTATAATATGTGTGCAACTATTGACATTCAAAGCCAGAAGCATGAAACCCTAGATCCAGGCTCATGTTAGTGACGTGAACAGCCCTCGAGGCATTTCTTCGGTGTTGAAAAGAACCGGAACGAATTATCTGTTTGTTAGGGTCCTTATACGTAAAGACATCATTCCTCGACGGACGTATATGTACTCGTATAGGTACGGTTTTATAGGAACGAAACCCAAATTTATCGACGTGTAGAGAAATTAATGCCTAATATTACTCATTTTGCCTTACCTGTACCTAGACATCCATAGCAGAATGCCTGACATATTTGGACAACGGTGTTGTGTTTGTTGGCTCTCGTCTAGGGGATTCCCAACTTGTGAAGGTAAAGGGCAGCTTTTAATTAATAATTAGGTGCCAAGAAATAGTAGTTTGCTAATCTTTTACTTATGATATATTTATATGGCATTGCTGTGAGACATGTGATTTTATTTTTGTCACCCTTAGGAATTTTATTCTCTTGGTTTTTGTTCCTTTTATTTTGAAACAAAATAAGACAAAAACTGGAATTTCAATACATTTTGCTGGAGTAGTCAAATAAAGAAAATTGAAGCAAACAATTTATTTTCACAAGAAGCTTATAATATTCTTATTTTCATTCCTAGCTCAATGTGGATAGTAATGAACAAGGCTCATATGTTGTGGCCATGGAAACCTTCACCAACCTTGGGCCAATTGTGGACATGTGTGTGGTAGATCTTGAGAGACAGGGTCAAGGCCAGGTAAAAGTTGATTCTTCTTTTCCTGCAAGGAATGATGGATCTTGCTAAGAGAGGTGCTTTATGCCCTCTTTGAAATATTGCTTTGCAGTAATATAGTTTTGCCCAAGTTGATCTGTGCGCGATGTGTATGAATCCTTTGTTGAAAAACTCAACCTATTCTCTCTCACCAAACTTCTGTGTTATGAGGAAGTTGATAATTTTGGGCAGATCCAGCAATTATTTATTTATTTATTTATTATTTAAATTTATATACCGCCCTATCTCCCTTACGGGACTCAGGGCGGTGAACAGGCAATAATAAAAATCAAATAAATATTGAATAAAAAGCCTGCTCTAAATTAGCTTCTTGCTGAATGCTGTTGTGAGCTCAGGTCTGCCCATTTCAAACTTGATGTATTTTCAGTGTACCACACATTCTAATCTGATAATAGCTTGGAAAATTATTATTCTGTTGGCATTTGAAGTAAGACAGTGCAAAAACTATTTCAGGGAGCTAGAAAGGTTACTTTTTTTGACATATGCATTAAATTTTAATTCATATGCCAGAAACAATAATACAGAACCATTTCAGGAAAGTTTTACTATAGAAGTGGAAGTGACTGCAGGATTTTGTCTTAACTGAGTTTTTTGATTAGATAATTTACTAAAAGATTGAGGAAAAACTCCTTTATCTTAAAGGTAGATGTGAATTACTATTCTCTATAACACATTGCATGTTCGTTAAACATTAATAATGTAATTACAGTATGCTAACTATGTCTGCTTTTCATAGCTGGTTACATGCTCTGGTGCCTTTAAGGAAGGTTCTCTGAGAATCATCCGGAATGGAATTGGGATTCATGAACATGCCAGCATTGATCTCCCAGGGATTAAAGGTATGTGTGTATCTCCACTAGAAACAGTTGATGAACAAATGAGAGTGCATCCTGTTACCAAAGTTGTCAAATCTCAGATTTTTTGAATGAGCTTTTTTATGTGTGCTAATCCTCATGAAATCTTAGAAAACTGAATATACTATTTAGGAAATTTCGGGGAGGAATCTGGCCATCAGAAAAAGGATTTGGGTATTTTGTATGTGCATGCATTCTATTCCTCTGTCTTTTCCCTCTCTTTGGTATATTACTACGTATTCTCTTTTTTATGTATTCTTGCTGTTATTTACCTTTTTGTTATGCAACTATTCTGAGACTGATTGTTTGAAAGTACAATACATTTTACTTAGAAACAATACCCAATTTGGTAATGTATTGTACAATGCATTGAGGAAACTTTGATGGTTCAAGAAGTGTTGGGGTTGACATTTTTGTTTGTCAAATTATGAAATCCCTTGAGTTTTCCAGAGGAATTTAATAACACTGCACTGTGTCTCTAAATTGCAGGATTATGGCCTTTGAGGTCGGACTCTCACCGTGAAACTGATAACACCTTAGTGCTGTCTTTTGTGGGACAAACCAGGTAGAGGAATAATATCCATGAAAGTATTGAATATAGCTCTTGGTTAGATCTTCTGGGGAATTTGATTGGGCTTTCCTATGTTCTGCAGAGTTTTGATGTTGAATGGGGAGGAAGTAGAGGAAACAGAACTGACAGGATTTGTGGATGATCAGCAAACTTTCTTCTGTGGTAATGTGGCTCATCTGCAGTTAATCCAGGTAATCTCTGAATTTTTTTAGTGATAAAACGTGAGGCATGAGTGGTTAAACTTTTGGGATCAAGAGTCACATTTGGAACATAAGGAATATGTGAGGGTAAGTTATGTTCAAAACAGAACGTTACTTTGTCCATAGTAAGCAACATCATTTTTTTAAAACTCTAATAATTTTTTCATGATTTTTCCTATCAGGCTGTTTTCAGTTTAGTCAATCTTAAAATTAAACATGGTGGATTACATTAAAAAAAATATTATAGCACTTGAAGAAGAAGTTGTAGAAAGCCAAGACTAGCAAAAATGTTTAAAAATATGTCTAGCAATTGTTGGAACTGCAGACAAAATCCAGGCATGTATTATCATCTTTGGTGGACATGCCTAAAGCAAAGAACTATTGGTCAAAAATACATAGGTGGCTAGAAAAGATGATAGGAGCACATGTAGACTATAAACCAGAATTATTTCTTTTAGGTATAATTTCGGAAAAATATGATAAAAATGTGTATACTTAATATTACATATATTAACAGCAGCGAGAATTACATTTGCTCAATACTGGAAAAATGAAGAAATGCCATCTGAAGAAGACATAATTAAGAAAATTTTGGACTGTGCAGATATGGATAGGCTCCCATTGAAAATGAAGGGTTTGCAAGATTCAGAATACTTTCAAACATGGGATTTTTTTTTATAAATGGTTAGAAAAACAGAATAAAGGGTAGGAACGGAAATTGTATTACTATTAATGTCAAACATACAAACCCAAACATGTTGCTTACTAAATACTAAAGATTGTTACTGTAAAAATCAATAAAATATATATTAAAAAAAAGTTGTAGAAAGCCTTATATGTGACATAGTCACACATTCTTATGTCTAAAGAATATGTTACCTTTCGGTTGGGAAGAAATACCAATGGACATTTGTCCCTTTAGATAACATCAGCCTCAGTCCGGCTTGTCACTCAAGAGCCAAAGGCCCTGGTGAGCGAATGGAAAGAGCCAAATGGGAAGAACATCAGTGTTGCTTCCTGCAATAGCAGTCAAGTAGTGGTAGCTGTGGGGAGAGTTTTGTACTACCTGGAAATCCACCCTCAGGAACTCAAACAAATAAGGTCAGTCTGAGCTAACTAGTTTGGGGTTATTGGTGACAGAGCTGAGTATTGCTGTAATGTTGACAGTTTAATATCTTGCTAGTTTTACAGAGATGGAGCATGAGATTGCCTGTCTGGACATCACTCCCTTGGGAGACACCAGTGGCATGTCCCCTCTCTGCGCTATTGGCCTTTGGACAGACATTTCGGCCCGTATTCTTAAGCTGCCCTCATTTGAACTGTTACACAAGGAGATGTTAGGAGGAGGTAGAAATTCCATTTGTGTGCTTGGTGTGGGAAGGGCAGGCCGTTGCAAAGAGCGATATTACAAACTTGTATCCCTGTTTACAGAGATTATCCCGCGTTCCATTCTGATGACCACCTTTGAGAATAGCCATTATCTGCTTTGTGCCCTAGGAGATGGGGCCCTGTTTTATTTTGGACTGAACATTGAAACAGGTAAAAATACAGTTTTCTTCCCTGCAGATTTTCTTTTTTTTTTTTTAAATTTCAAATGATGAACAGATTGTAGGCACATCCAACAAGTAGAGCTTGGCCCCCCAAAAATATAAGCAGGGATAGAAGATCTGAACTCTAGAAATTTCTTTGGTCTAAATTTGAACTCAGCTAAATCATTCCACATCAGATTTACTGGTTTGTTTGTTTTTTCATTTTACCACTATATTGAGGCAGCAAGGGAATTCCATACAGTAACTGTTATTTCCTGGTTTACACATTGTATCAACTTATGTAATCTGCTTGGTTAACTCATCTGATTATGATTTACCGATGAAGTAATGATTAAATTATGGGAAATTAGACCAATGGAACTGGATCTATACCCTGTTATCATTTTGCAGCCACAATCCATTCCTTAAAGCGGAAGCAAAATAATTGGTAAGTGAACACAAGACTGAGAGGAAGAAAGAGAGATAGAGAGACCCTGGAAAGATCACTGGTTGCTGCCATCTCTTTCAGATAGCTTTCTTGTGTAACTTTGCCAGCTCTGGTATGTGTTCTGGTCAGCCACCCAAAATTTGGCTGTAAGTGTGTACATTGTTTAGAAAATGATTTTTTTTAACCATCACATTTGCAAATGGTTACTAAACATAGTAACTGCTGTCATTTTGTCTTAAGTAAGTCAAGTTAGACCTCCGGAGATCCGTGATGAGATTTTTCAGGATTTAAGTATAAGACCAGCCAAGGATATATGAATCTTATCTCTTTGAATAATTTTTCTGTTCTAAATCAAGCCCACCCAGCATCCAGAAATTATTATTAGCTCATGGAGAAAAATACATTATGCTGTTTCTGTGTAGACATATAGCTGTATTTTAGGATGTATTCTGTCTTTCAGGAATAATTTTAGTACATTTAAATTGCTACCGTAAATATACTTTTCTAAAATATAAAAATATTTCATTTTTTTCAATAATGAAAAGTAGTCACAGGTCAGCTAATTTGCCCCGCTCCCTTCCCATCTCCTAGTCTCTCTTAATGGGTAGCCTCCAATAATATCCTTTCTTTGGCAGGTTTGCTGAGTGACCGTAAAAAAGTAACTTTGGGAACCCAGCCCACTGTTTTAAGGACATTTCGCTCTCTTTCCACCACTAATGTGTTTGCTTGCTCTGACCGCCCCACCGTGATTTACAGCAGCAACCACAAATTGGTCTTTTCCAATGTCAATCTTAAGGAGGTGAATTATATGTGCCCTCTTAACTCAGATGGGTACCCTGACAGGTAAGTGTGTTTGGTTCCTTCATTTCAGTGGGTCCACAAAGCATACCATGCTCTCTTCCTACTTAGCCAGTCTGGTCAACCCCTTTAATTAAGTAGCCAACTTGTATCATACGAAGAACACAAAAATAAGCAAATTACTTTTGGAATATTGGGATTAAGAGAATAGGGACAAAATAGTAGGCAATTCCAAAGTAACAGAAGAATTGCTTACGTTATATCCTTCCTGTTCTCCTCTTTACTGGTGCACCCTGGCTAATGTGAGTTTTGAGAAAATACGAGTCATAGACTCATTGTGTAATAAATATTCAGCCTGTCTTATATCTTCATGTAAGAAAGGACTCTTCTATTTCATCTATGCTTGATGTCATTTTTTTGTGTTGTATTTTATGTAGTAATAGCATAGGAAATCTTTTGAGGGGTCGTGAGTTTTATCCCCCATTATGCTAGTTGCCAAGTGATGATCACTAGCCAAGAAAAATGGGATTTCCGTAAAATATTTTTCAGTGTTTCAAGTCTCCTGTTCTAGAATAGGTTTGATTGGTCAAAAATAATACTCTCCAGGAATACACTGGAGGTTCCTGATAGAATTGGTGAAACAGTAACTTGCATTTGGGATTGCATGTGGAAACATAGTTGTGAAGATAAAGATTGGTTGTGATCAACACTAGCAAAATTAGTCCATCTGTAAGAAAGAAGATTTGTTGAAGTTTAAAAACTTGAAGGAAGGTAAAAAGGCTCCTTTTTTGTACTGCAGAAGGAAGCTGTTGGAAACAAAATCAGAAATACACTGCACCATAAACATACAAACCTCAACTCTTGTTTGTGTGCTCTACAAATACATGAGCTGTTTTCTATGTGTGTTTTCTCCCTTCTATCTCTTAATGGCCAGATGCTCCTATGTGTACTTGATAGTTCATGAAACAATACTGATTTTGACATATATTTGCTGCAGGGTTTTGTTTTTTTTTTTACATTTTCACTTCTGCCAAGTCTTGTTAAGTACAAGTGCTAATAATGGATTATTTCTGAAATGTAGATAAATACTCTAGAACTGAGAGGTATAGTGGAGTGATTTTTTTCTTGAAAATGAAATACTTTTATTTTGTAGCTTAGCTCTGGCCAACAATAGCACTTTGACAATCGGCACCATAGATGAAATTCAGAAGCTGCATATCCGCACAGTTCCCCTTTATGAATCACCCAGGTGAGCGGAGTTAAAGCTTGTTGCTGAGAATTCATCTGCTTTTAAATAATGTAACTTTTTAAACTATGTACATTTTTAGTACAATTCTTTTCTTCCTTCCTTCCTTCCTTCCTTCCTTCCTTCCTTCCTTCCTTCCTTCCTTCCTTCCTTCCTTCCTTCCTTCCTTCCTTCCTTCCTTCCTTCCTTCCTTCCTTCCTTCCTTCCTTTCCCTTCCCTTCCCTTCCCTTCCCTTCCCTTCCCCTCCCTCCCTCCCTCCCTCCCTCCCTTCCTAGGTTGATGGATTTTTTCCAAGGAAGCATGCTTTTTGGAGCATTTTGAATTTCTTAATAGGGATGCTTATGAGTGAACTGTCACCTAAATTGAATAAATTAAATATTACTTCTATGAGCAATGTTTCTTAGAACATATGGATCTTATACGTATGAGTGTGTAGACACCATGTGTCCCTTTCTGTCATGCAGAAAGATCTGTTATCAGGAAGTATCTCAGTGTTTTGGCGTGCTCTCCAGCCGTATTGAAGTTCAGGATGCTAGTGGAGGCACCACTGCATTGAGGCCCAGTGCAAGTACCCAGGTGAGAACCATCAATAATATTTGCGTTTAGGAATGCCTTGATTTCAATAAAAGGAGACATTATTGCTTAACATTCTGATTATGTCTATAAATCACTTGAGAAATCATCTCCATTTCTCATCTGATAATCTAAACTTAAAGACAGCTTGTTTTGGGATAAAAATATATTGTGGCTCAGTTACATGTTGGGCTTTGGTGATTTAAATCCTGGCTAGCATAGCTTTCCACATTTAGTTAGGTTTCTGCCTATCTTTTATGAGGAGGTCTTAGAATGTATTGGTATTTCTTCCACGTGAACTGATTTTCAATCCCTTCAGAATAGTCCTTTGAACCATCAAAGTATGACCATGAAATTGTATTTAGTAGAAGGTAATGAAGAAAGAGACAGGTTTATACCAAAATAAGAAGTATTTAATCCGTGGAGGTTTGGTTGGAAGGGGGTTTGTTAAAAACGGTATGTAAATAAAAACATCAATAAAACAAGATCACTTACAAGAAACCCGATAAAGACAATAGTCTCTGTCTCTAGCAGCTTAAAATGCTTACTTTTCTCTCCATGTTTTAGGCCCTTTCCAACAGTGTGAGCTCTAGCAAGTTGTTCTCTAGCAGCACAGCTCCACATGAAACATCATTTGGTGAGGAAGTAGAGGTACACAATCTGCTCATCATAGATCAGCATACATTTGAAGGTATCTACATCCTAGGCTATATTTCACTGTTTATGAGAGAAATGTTTTGGGGGATCATGAGATTAGGAGAAGAGAGCCATCAAGTGTATTTGCTGGTTTGGATCCCTTGAAGGGTCCAAAAGTCCATGGAGCATCTTGAGGGTCATTTTATTGAGCTTCTGTAGGTTTTTGTGGTTGCATGTTGCAGGATGTTCCAAACAGTATACTGAAGTCTATATTTTGTGAGCTCTTTAACTCTTTTTTTTTTACTGCTTGTCTTCAGTACTCCATGCTCACCAGTTCCTGCAGAATGAGTATGCACTAAGCCTGGTCTCCTGCAAATTGGGCAAAGATCCCAACACTTATTTTATTGTGGGAACAGCCATGGTGTATCCTGATGAAGCCGAACCCAAGCAAGGCCGTATTGTGGTGTTCCATTACTCTGATGGTAAGGACAAATGTTTTGGATCTCTTTCTTCCTAGTTGCATGGACTTGTTTTCTTTGATTAATTATTATTTTGTCATGGAAAAAGCGGGTTAGGTTCCTAGGTTCTTTTACTCTAAAAGTCTAGAATATTCTTTTCAGCTCTTGAAGAGCCATCTTGTCTGCTTCATATGGAAAAAAGTAACCTGAATATCTGGGTTTTTAGAGTTTGGGTATTTAAATTATTTATAATATGCTGAAGTTACCTGGATGGCTTACAGTAATAATAGTAATATTATTATGTGTTATAAAAGAGATCTAGCAGGAGATCAAATTAAATCACTGTAACAACACCACATATCAGGGTCTGCAAAACAATTAAATGGATTTTTAAAATAAAAGTTTTAAAGCCTTGGAAAATAGGGGGAAAGTGTTCACTTGGCATTAACAAACCCACATTCATTGTTGTCAACCATTCAGTGACGCCCAGCCCTTGGCTACTCTAGGGATCGGCACGTTCCATGCCCCTCTGTCAGGCATCGCCTCCTTCAGATCCACCATGATCATCCCGGTGTCATCCTTTAAAGCAGGGATGTCAAACTCAATTTCATTGAGGGCCACATCAGCATTGCGGTTGCCCTTGGAGGGCTGGGTGGGTGTGGCCAGGGTGGGTGTGGCCTACTGAGTGGGCATGGATGGAGTGGGTGTGGCCTACTGGGTGGGCGTGGCCAGCTCTACATCATTTGCGTCAATGGTGTCTGTGGGGGCCTGGGCAGGAATGGGACAGATCTGAGGGTCTCTGGCAGAAGGGGGTGGGACCAGGACCACTTCCAGGCAACGGTACATTTCTTGATTCCTCGCAAAGGGTGACACCTCCCCAGCGCGTGCCCAGGGGGCGGGTCCAATGCAGCAGGCTCCGGTCCCTTGCTGTTTCCAGGATGGCTTCACGGGCCACATGAAACCACTTCGCGGGCCGCATCCGGCCCCCGGGCTTTGTGTTTCACATGTCTGCTTTAGAGTATCCAGCCAATAAGTATTAGGGCGGCCCCTTCTCCTTTTTCCACTGATCACTCCCAGCATGTTTGACTTTTCAGCTTGCATGACATAACCAAAGTATGATAGCTTTTGCTTGGCAATCTTAGCTTCAAGTGATATTTTTGATGAGATTCAGTCTAAGACTTTGTGATTTTTGCAGTCCATATGATGCGTAATAGTTGTCTTCAGCACCATAATTCAAAGGTGTCCACCCTTGTCCTATTTGTCTTCTTCAGAGTCCCAAGTTTCGCAGCCATAAGTAGCAATTGGGAAAATTATTGCAATGGCTGCGAAACTGGGAAAACCACAGAATAGTCACCAAAATAGCACTTTTTAATAGTAGCTACCTATGTTGCTACTGCTAAAAGGAAACATAAGAAGAAAGATCTCAAATGATAATCTCAAAGTATGGTTAGATGGTGAAATAAGGAGATATAAATTCATTCTGATTCCTATTCTCAAGAGCAGCCTAAGCTTTTTGAGCACTTCCATTGATTCTTTCACAGTGATTAGTTGCATGCTAGTTGAGCGAAGAAGTGTTTATTTTCACCTCATTTTACCTCACCAAGAAAATGGATAGTTCAGGTGGAATTATTCAGATAGTTTTATGACTGTTAACGATGATGAATAAAATTTTTAGTTAACAGTTGACAAGTATTTGGGGTGATACTGAGTAATATTGTAGAATGAGGAAAGAGCTTTCAGAAAGATAGATAGAAGTTAAAACTATGTATTGTAGTTATTACAGACTTAAGTGCATGCTAGGCTTTATGTTGGGTTATTGTCACAGAAGAAGATTATCACATAGCATCACATATTTGCAAATAAACTTTGGTAGTTTACCTTGGTTTTGAGGGGGGTAGAATTAATTAATTAATTAATTAGGATTATTGTATCTACCTGGCTGCTAAGAGTTGATACCAGCTTTATGACACATAATCAGAAAGAGGGCCAAGGGGTTTTCTGTCCACTTCAACATTTGAAATTTCCTGAAGGCTTACAGCTCTCTAGGTGAGGCACCATCTTTATGAAGAACTCCTGGCTGAGGCGACCATAAAGAGATTGTAACTGTTAAAAAAAGATAATTAAAGACCTCCCTGACATCTTGTACACCAATCTTGCTGTATCTTGCTCACATTTAAGGTTAGGTATTGGAATATTTTAGAACATAAGTGGAGTTCACTTGCAGCTAGCATTTACATTACTCTGGATCCATAGTGAGCAAAATGCCTAAATTAACTTCTGGAAGGTTTCATGATAGAATTTTTAATATATTTTGTAATATCTTACATTTTATAGCATAATTAATTTTATGCTGCAGAAAGCAAGGAGGGCTTTATATAATCCAAGGAGGAAGCTACATTTCAGGGCCTAAGATCACCTGTTTTTGAGGATGTTAATATTTTTTTGTTGCTATTTGTAGCTACAACCAGTGTATTTTTCAAGTATCGTTGTATTAATGTGTATCCTAGGTAAATTGCAGAGTCTGGCTGAGAAAGAAGTAAAGGGGGCCGTCTATTCCATGGTGGAATTCAATGGAAAACTCTTAGCTAGCATAAACAGCACGGTAAGGCTTCTGAAGATCTCAACATCAATATTTCCTAAAACTGGGCTTGCTTAGCAAACTGTGTAAGAGAAATTTTTCGGACTCTGCAGTATTGTTCCAGATCTGTTTTAGCCTTACCTTTACAAATCAATCTTCTCCTAACAGGTGCGACTGTATGAATGGACAGCAGAATTCCTCGAAGCGTGTCTTACGTTGGTAATGTTGTTGTAGTACCGTGAGATACACTTTTGTTTCCCACTGAAGTAAAATCAACCTCTAGAATACGCGAGGCATGAAGATGACCGGATATTCGGGTACCTTCCTTTAAAACTTCTCCATAATTAAGTCAAAAATGGAGTCACATGTATTACCTTTAGGGATTCTCTTATCTAGAATATTTGGTGGCAGAAGAAACTAGTTGTTTGTTTTGTTTTTAATTTGAGGTACCTAGGTTATCTTAGGTTGGCTGGCCTTCTCCATTTCACTCTGCATTTAAAACTGGTAGAATTCTACTTCAGGCCAGAAAAGTCTTAACTTTGTGGAGAATAGATTGACTTGCTAGGTAAATTAACTTGCATATCTTTACAGATCGCTCGTGATTTTAATCCAAACTGGATGAGTGCTGTGGAGATCCTGGATGATGACAATTTCTTAGGGGCAGAGAATGCGTTTAACTTGTTTGTGTGCCAGAAGGACAGGTGAGATGACCTTCTAAAAAGGTAGGCCAAAGTGAGCAAATAGTAGGTTGGGACAAAGGGTTCACCCTATCCTTTTCCTAGTAAACGTTTTGTATTGCAGTGCTGCGACAACTGATGAGGAGCGCCAGCATTTACAGGAGTTTGGGCTCTTCCATCTGGGTGAATTTGTCAATGTCTTCTGTCATGGGTCCCTAGTCATGCAAAATCTGGGTGAAACATCTACACCAACACAGGGCTCAGTGTTGTTTGGCACAGTCAATGGAATGATTGGTAAGGTTAGATATTAAGTCAGAAAATTTTGCCATCTCCCCATATAGTCTAACAAAATAGCTGGTACTCGGGGAGGGCTTATCTGACACTAAAATAATATCTATCCTTTGTTTCCAAAGTGATCCTATAAATAGATACCTATTAATTTCTTTTTAAAAATAATGCTCTGTCTTTATTCACAGGACTAGTGACTTCTCTGTCAGAAAGCTGGTATAATCTCCTGTTAGATGTGCAAAACAGACTCAACAAAGTCATTAAGAGTGTTGGGAAGATAGAACACTCTTTATATCCTTTCTTTCTTGTGTTTTTCTTTAACATACATAACACTTGGTAGCATTAGTCATTATACAAGAACCAGGAATGGTTCCTGCCTACAGTTTACAGCACAGAACCAAATGGGTAAAGATCAGCAATATGAATGTATTCATTCCTCTTATATCTTTAGGAAAAACTAGGGATAGGATATTGTGTTTCTAGTTACAGTTATAGCTTATGTCCCTCTTGCCCCCCCCCCCTGAAAAACTGCTTTTGCAGGATGAGAACTCTCTTGACTGGAATATTTATAGGCCTTGGTGAAGCTGTAATATGATACCAGATTAAAGTGAGGAGCATTTTGGTGGTTCGCTGCCAGTCAAAATAGTTCAGCTTTTTTTTTTAGGAATTTATATAACAGCTGGAGATCACATATTTTGCTAGTACTTAGCTTATTTAATTATGGTTTATTAGGTATAATTGACTGGGTTGACATAATAAATTATAAACCATTGCGTACAAACTACAGTAGCTGGGTAAAACAGCTAGTCTAAGGTAAGACCAAATAATTACATTATGGCTTAATATGTTGTATGAACCAGACCAATAACTACTTGCCAGACACTATAGTAGAATCTTTCACAGGATGAAAAGAGTACTAAGCTAGTCTTCCATGAATTGTGGGTAATTTGAGATACAATACAAAGGTGAATTATAAACAACATAAACAAGTGATTACCATGATACTGAATAATTAACTAGGAAATCTGCAGTCATTTGCATCTGCAATTAGTCTACATCAGAAATGCAGGAGTGAAACATGCCAAGGAAAACTAAAGCAGCATGAAGGGAAAAAGGAAGATATTCATGGCATGATTAAAAATATTCAAGGGTTACCAAAATTGAAGAGCTATTCTTTGCCACATTTAATATTCTATATTTGAGTATATGTTTATTAGATTAATTATTGTTAACACAACATAAGCATGTAGGCTTTCAGGCTTATAGAATCAAAATTTGGGACTTAGAATGAAAAATATTTTTTTCATTGAAGCTCCATACAGTTTACATGTTACATAGAGACTGGGCCAAATTCTGTTGATAATTATCCATAATACTGCAGGTATATACTTCATAATTTCATTAAATCAAGTTCTATTTCTCCCCTATGAAGAATTATTTTAAAAAGTGTAATACTGAAGAAAGTTTCTGATTCAAGAGAATGTATTTTCAGTTTTTGAAGTGTGTGTCAGGAAAGTACCTTTTATTTTTTGTTGATGACCACCAAGGTTATTATATGGGTAATACATTCAGAATTTATTTTTAATTTAAGGTGCGCATTTTATGCATGTCATACCATGTACCTGCAAGCATTATATTCAGTGTAACATTCTATACACTAAAATACGTCAAATATAATAAAATAGATTTAAAAAAATATATAACCAGTAACTAACTATGAGTTTTGGAATAGTACCATCATTAAATAGCAAATACAAAGAATTACTAAAATGTTTTCAATGTTTGTCTAAATTATATGGTTAATATTGCAATTGTTTTGTTCCCCTGAAAAACAACCTGACCTTTTGAAAAAGTCCTCTTCTGTCACATGAGAATACAATCTGTCATCTCTAGATGAGGATTGCTATTATGTTGGGCTATGCACTACACATATGAATAGGTTGCTGTAATATTTGATTTTGACCATGGAGGCTGAGAATTCTCAAGATTGTAGTTTGACCTGGTCCGATTTCTATAGGATCACTGAGGGAGATTAACGACATATTACACTTCTGGTTCTGGGTGATAAAAGCCTGGGGACAGTTCTTGCAACACACTTTCATTTTTATGGGAAAGTTGAAGGCATATTTTACTGAAGAGTTTTATTTCCTTGATTCTTGATTTTACCTGGAGATCATTTCATACAGAACGCAAGACAGAGCCAGCTACTGGATTTATTGATGGAGATTTAATTGAAAGCTTTTTGGATATCAGTCGACCCAAGATGCAGGAGGTGGTGGCTAACTTACAAGTAAGTTGAGAAAATTACCCATGTTGAGACAAGCCTTGTTGTTGGGCATGACTCTTTGATTCTCTGCTTGCTCATTTGAAGTAAAGATACGAACTTGGGGATTGCAGTATCAGGATTAAGAAGAGGCATATGCGCTTCGTCTTCTGCCTGCCACAGGACTGTGCTTCACCTCTGCCTCTTGCCTCCTTGTTTCAGATTGACGATGGCAGTGGAATGAAGAGGGAGGCTACGGTAGATGACTTGATCAAGATTGTGGAGGAGCTCACCCGTATCCATTAGCTGAATGAGAAGATACTTCCTGCACCTTCCTTCAAGGATAGCATATGGAGTCTTTCCCGACTGGTTCCCTCACCAGTTTCACTGTAACGCTAGAGCAGTAGCAATGTGCCTGGATGAAAGTGGGGAATCTCTGAACTGAAGCCATCTTGCTAAGGACTTGCAAATGCAGTGTTGGCTGTTGACGACATTGTATTCTGCTTGGATTCACCATTCATCTGCCACCTAATAGTGGTCCCAGCAGATTTTTTTTTCCCTCTTGAGTAACAGCAGCTGGCAAAGATGTCCCTCTGCCTAGACTCTTTCCACACTTCCTTTGCTGTTGTCTCTGAATTTATTTTGTTCCCGGTGTTTTGAAGTGGAGGTCTTTTCCCCCTACCCCTCCCTGTTTGGATGAGAAGGTGGCTAGATGGCTGCAGTGGCTGTTGGAGAGATGGATGTGACATTTAGCTCTTACAAGGTGCTTTTTTCAGAATTGGGGCTGCTTAATCTCGAGGAACCCAGTTGGTGGGTAGCAGCTTCTCTATTCCAACAGCTTTGCTGCTTATTCAGGGAGAAGAGACTAGATTGCAATTTTTCTGTTATTGGTTTTGGAATTTTATCAAATAAAAGTAGTCCAAGAGGAAAGGTTTGGCTGTTGTCAAAATCTTTTCAAGCTTTTCTAAACTCCTTTACCGAGGAGGAAAGAAAACTTCGTTCTCTTATTTTTTTTTATATTTCAACACTCCCAATTATTCTGTCTATAGGGAACTGACTAATTTCATTTTGCTCTCGTGTTTCTTTCCCCAAAAAAGTCTTGTAGAATTTGTTTAAGGGGGTGACAATTTTATAACAAGGTATACCTCATTACCTCTTTTTTTCCTCATTCTTGCCAGTAAGAGGCAGACTTTTAAGATGAGGGATTTTGTTGTTACAGTATTTTTGGACTGATAAGCACAAGGCACTCACTTCCCATTTTCTGCTGTCACATATTAAGAATTTTTATTCCCTTCTAGCATGTTAGCGTTAGAAAAGACTTTTTGCATTGGACATTTTACTCAAGTTTTCTCCTCCCCCCCCTTTTTTTGGGGGGGGGGTGTAAAAACCTGTCCTGACTATTCTGTGATAGAATTTATGGGCTGGGGAAAAGGCTCTTCTTCAAATTCACTCCACAAATTCACATCATTGCATCACTAGATGCCAGAATTAGAGTGAAAGTACTTCACGATTCTTCCTTGATAAAAAGTTAAATGTACAGTACAGTATGCCTCTAGCCATTCTCATGAAATCACTTCATTCTCTTCCCAGTTGGAGAGACAGAGGAAACCTAATATACGGTGGACTTTCAGTTCCATCAACAAATCCTGCATGCTTGTTTGATGTACAGTGGATGGGGTTTATTTTGTCCTTCAGGGTCCTGAAAGCATTTGAGCAAGCCTTAAGGAATTGTAAAAATGGAAAAACAACGCATAGTTCTTTGATAATGCTCGGCAGAGGACAGACTATTTGTTACAGATGGTCCTCGACTTATGACATTCAATTAATGACGGTTCAAAGTTACAATGACCTCAGAAAAAGTGTCGTATGACCTGTACTCACATTATGACCATCATACCACCTCCACATTAGTGTGATTGCAATCCAGAAACTTGGCAACTGGTTCCCATTTACAATTACATTTGCAGCATCCTGCAGTCACATGATTGTGGATTTACAACAGGGGTGTCAAACTCGCAACATCACGTGATGTGTCATGATGTATCGTGAACTTTTTTTTCCATTGCCGGCAATGGGGTGGGCGTGATTTCGCCATGATGCAGCCAGCCTGCAGGCCGGCAGTTTGACACTCCTGATTTACAACCTTTTTTGCTGATTTCCAGCAAGAAATTCCCATTGGGGAAGCTGGATTTGCTTAATGATCAAGTGATTTGCCTAACTACTGTGTGATATGCTTAATGACTGCCATCACTGGAAATTCTGGTCCCATTTGTGGTTGTAAGTCTAGGACTATCTGTAATATGTTGGAAAGGTCAACAACAACTGGCACCTGTAGCAGCATGTACAGTATGAAGCAATTCCTGTACAAATCTTTCTTGTGTAGTAGGTGATTGTGCTCTCCCATACTTTCTAAAATCATGCTCCAAACACTGTTGATGGCAGGTGTTTAGATCTGTTGCTTATATTGCCTTTCACATCTGCTTAGATAAGGTGTTACGGCTTGTTCGACTGCAACTAGCTTCCTGTAAAGTGGTACATATTGCCAAAAGGTAAACACTTGGAAAAGAAAACACTTGGAAAAACATTTGAAAATGTTTTACACAAAATGTATAAAGGCTCTGTAATCGTATCTTTAGCCTGTGATACTAATAGCCAAGTTGCTTGGTAGAATGGAAGGCTATCCAAAAGCCTGGTTCTATTCTTAGAAGGAATAATGAAAGAAATTGGAAGTTTCAGAGATATTAAGACTAATTGCATTCAGCAGTTAGTTTAGCACGGCCTTAAATAAACTACAAGCTTTTAATTGTTTTCATTGAAAGTTGTCCCTGCTGTAGGGAACCTGGTGTGCATGAATATTCAGATGTCTTGAGCATATGCATTTCCGATATTGAAGGATTTTGTTAACATTTTGAAAGCTCTGTTCTGTTACATACACATACAAAGAGTGTGATACTTATCTCACAATGGCAGAATGCTACTTTCATTATTTGTCCCCCTTGTGGATGCCTCTAATTCTTTATTTTATTGTAAAATCACAATTGGGAAGTATCCCAGATGGGGGGGAAACCATGCAGGTCAAAACTGCTATTAAAGGAAGGGGTCTGTACATATTTTTTGAAGAAACATCCCCCCGTCAATCTACATTATGCTTGCCTTATATTTCCAAATGAATACAAGAGGCAATGCAGTAATATGTAGTAAATATTGTACAATGTATTGAAATAGGTTCCTGTTTTAGCACACTGAGCTTCAGATTACAATTGATACAAAATAGTCTTTTTTATAGGATACTAATACACAAAATGGGAGAAAAGAAGAGAATTTCCAGTATTTGCATAGCTGCAGTGCTTAGAAAGGGGGAATATATTTCTATAATGTTACAAAGAGTCATTTCAAGAAAGCACTGCAGTGTGCCATTGTTTCTTTTTAACAGTAATTTTATTAAATATTACAATTAAAAAGATAAAAACTAATACAAATTAAAAATGAAAAGTATAAAAGAAAAAAAATAGTAATATATGTGTATATATAAATGACTTCACCCTTCATCACAACATATAAATATTTTAGTAACTTATCACCTCTTCTTAAACTACAACAAATGAATTTTTCTTTCCATATTCCCTCTCTTATCTACAAATGATACTTAATGCCTCCTGGATTAGTCGTGGTTAGCAAAAATCAAGGGTTACCAGAAATAACAACTTTAACCTTGATCAAATAAACCAAGTTTATATTCCTGTTTACTTTTAACAATCTTGATCTCTAATCCCTTCAAATAATATCCTAGATTTTAATTTCCTTTTTTTCATTGTCCCTTCTTACAACATTCTTCAAAATGTTAACAAGTCTCTTTTGTAAATCCAATATAGAAAAGTTGTCCAGGTCATATCAATTTTGATTTGATATTTGTATATCCCTTTCAATGATTAAGACATAACCTGATTTCATTTATACTTTCTGTGTAGCATTTTCCCCATATCATTCTTACAGCTTGTCATTTTAAAATCCACTTTCAAATCAGTCCGTCTTGTATCTTAAAACTTTTCATTTTCAATACTGACTTTTAAACACTTTCTGCTAAGAAACGGTGGGAGCTTCTGACCATCTCACACTGCTTTGCCATGTCATTCACGCATTACCCCTTTGATCTTCCTACCTTTTATCTGTTCTGCATATAGGTATTTTCATTAACCACATCCCTACATTATGTAAGTTATATATTCTGTATAATACTTATAATACTTCAGCAAAAGCATCTTGGGAACACAGCTATAAAAAAAAAGGCATTATGTATTCACATAGTGTACAATTAACAAAGGTTCAGATAATTAATACAAATAGTTAATGAAAAGATTCAAGTGACCTTGAGGGCACAGATAAACCCCCAAGTGGCCTCAACACTCTCAAAGAGTATTAATGACCAGACAACTGTAAAGCAGGGGTGTCAAATTGCCAGCCCATGGGCCAGTTTCATCATACTGAAGGCATGCACACCCCATTGTCGGCAAAGCAAAAAGTGTCATGATATGTCGTGACATGTCGTGACGTGGTGAGTTTGACACCTGTGCTGTAAAGAAATACAATCCTTCCACCCACCCCCCACCATCTTATCAGAACCGATCCTTCCATCTCCCACTATCCAGTCTCAACTGTCAATACCTACTGTATCCTTCCACCCTCCACCACCCCCCTCATCAGAACTGATGCTTCTTGGATGAGAAGCAAAATGTTTTCTTCCTCAAAGAAAAAAAAACCCAGTTGCCTTTTGAAGAAAAAAGCACCTTTTGAGTTAATACAAATAATTCATAATACCTAGATGCAGTGAATCTCATATTGATGTCCAGGACTTTTTGATTCAAAGGGAGTTAATTGAGAGATTACAGTTCACCTGTAAAAACCACAAAATCAGGACATTTGCATTGCTGAATGCTTATTAAGAAAAATATATATAAATAAAATATAAATAAAAATAAGGTTCAGTCGTTTAGGGTTTATTTCTAAATGTGCCTATGCATAACTGTTAGAAATCTTCGTGTTTTAGAAAGCCAGCATGTTATGTAGAAGATTCCTGTTTCCTATACAAAATTGTTTACTTAACACTGACAGAAGCGTCAGAAGCGTGAACCTTAAAGGTTATTTCATCACCCAATTTTTGATTGGTACTCCCAGGACCACTCTTCCCCTGAACCTGTAGCTCAGCTGACCGTAAAAAAAAAATAGATAGCTAAAATTGTAGAGCATTATAAATAAACAGCAAAAAGAGGTTTTCTTGAAGGAATCTTGGTATCTTTTTCCAACATGAACAAATACAACTTGATAGAGCTATAGGCTTTGTAGCCCAGGTAGCAGCAGAGTAAGCAAGTAAGGAGTAAGTTTCTCCTTGAAGCCAGCAAACATAATGTTGTTTGTTTTCCTCCTACTCCAAAAAACAATGTGACTTTGTGATGCATTGTGATGCAAGTATAGCAATAGCAACAGCAATAGCACTTAGACTTATATATCTATCACTCCACTGCTTTACAGCACTCTCTAGAAAAGAGTGGGGTGGAGGCAGAAAGATGGTGCCAAATGCTTTGGATGAGAATGAAAGCCATAGTACTGTTTCCTTCATGCTTTCTCTTCTGGTTTCCTCCTACTCACTTTTTGTATAAGATGTTAAAGGTTTCTCAGAGATTTGGGGGAAAGGCGAATTCTCAATTTCTAATTACGTTCCTGTGTGTAGTTTCTCCCCACCTCGCAATAATTTCATCCGCAAATCAAGTTTTTGAAGGAGAGGACAATAAATCCCCCCCTCCTGCTTTCTTAATCTCACTTGTGGAACCAGGAGGCAAGTACTGCGCTATGCAGGCAAACGTGACACATCCCAAATTGGAAGAGAGCCCCTCCTGATAATAATCCAGAATATATTTGATAGGTGCAGTTTTATATTTGAGAAAAATCAACAGAAAATAAGTTTGATGGATTAATCTTTCAGATCGTAAAATAGAATAGGTGGCCAAGAGGGGGGGGGGGTCTTTGGTAAAATATGGATTCATGAATTGGACCACAATCTGCAAAAGCGAACCTGAGAAATAAGTCTTTTAGCCTCTAAAATGCTAAAAGATTGCTTAATTGCTTTTGCAATAGAATTGTTAGTGCTTTGAGTGATTCTTTGAACATTTCCAAGTTTAAGGGTTACAGGGAAGCGCTCTGCATCTGCTAAACATAAAACTTGTTTACATTCCCCAAGTTGCATAACCCTGACGAAGGTTGGTACTGGATTGCTTATTACCTATAAGAGTTGCCTGTGGCGGTAACACTAGTTGAGCCAAGAATGGTCAGTTGGGCAATTCCAAATGATACAATAGTAGAGGAAGGAAATCTTTGTTATTAGAGTGGTGGGGAAAATGCAGTCTCTGGAGAAGTAGGCTGGGCTGCTGGTGTAATTATTGAGACAGCACAATAGATTCCTTATGTCTACTGAGCAAGACTTGCTATTTTTCATTAAGGAGATCCAATTCCCCTGCGTTTAATCTTTCCCTCTTGCCTATCCCTCGAGAGAATCTATCTTAATTTTCATGCTTTTCTCTCTGATGAATTTCCCTCTTGAACTTCTGAACTGGATTAGAGTGAATCATATTAATAGCTGCGTGTATTTCTGCTCCGTGATAAATGTTCTATTTTTTCTTAATGATGGCTATTAATGATGATTCTATTGAAGAATATGTGTGAGCTAAGCTCTTTCTATATGTACTCATACGAATGCATTAATGTGCACAGCTTGGTAATCTCGTTACGGAGCAGTCATTACACCAAAACCTTCATGTTGGTTGCTTGGTTTTGGTATAGTTTGTGTGAATCATTGTTATTAGTAAACCAGGTTTAACAGCTTAGTTTATCAGGATAAGGCAAGCAAGGGTTGCTCAATAAACCAAGCTTATGCAAACCCTGCTTAACATGGACTGCTGGTGTCTCAGAGCGCAATTTTGTTCACCTCCTGAAACAACACCTGTTTTTTCACGAGTGGAAAATCCGAAACGATTGAGCAGCTGCTGCTGCTGCTGCTGCTGCTGCTGCTGCTGCTGCTGCTGCTTCTTCTTCTTCTTCTTCTTCTTCTTCTTCTTCTTCTTCTTCTTCTTCTTCTTCTTCTTCTTCTTCTTCTTCTTCTTCTTCTTCTTCTTCTTCTTCTTCTTCTT